TAAAAAGTTCTGAGTTGAATGGGATATATCATATGCGGCATTGGCCGTCTTGTAAGCATAGCCTCGGTATGCAGCGGCGGCGAAGATAAGCCATGAAGCATGATGCACAAAGCGTAAACAAGTTTTCACCGAGCAACTCAACGCTCCAATTGATGCTGTAGTTCAGGAGGTTCTAACTTCTCGGGTTGAGCTAAAGCTCAACTCCACCGCTGATCTACTCCGCATCCAGGGGCAAATAGGTAAAGATCGACTTGACAATCAGTGACGGTCGAACCATTACAAGGGCGGACGTTCTGATTTGGAGTTAGTTTTGTTGGGATGGTGTAGGATTGGTCATCGGGGTGTCTGTCGCCGCTGTGGTGAGAATTCTTGAAGAGGCTACCTTCAGCAGATGCAAATGTTGGAGCGAGTGATATGGCGCTACACATGCACCGTCGTGTGACACTCGACAAATACAATAAAAGGGGACAGGAAAGGCACAACGGATGAATTAAATGTAGAACGACTCATCAATTCATGTCACCATTAAATGTCATCTATTCGTGCTACATGAATAAACCCGACTTGGGTAGCGGCGTGATAGACAAACGACTTCAATAGTATCGTGACATGACCGGGCAGAATGCTTAGTGCTATCCCACTCTAGAACAATTGCTCGCCAGCCGTGCATTCCTCTCATGAGGGTATAGCCTCGTTCCATAGGTCTCCATGACCATCCGTCGAACCTGTCGAAACTCCTGTGTTACCCAGCCGGACAACCCGAGTCCGACAACTGAATCCATCCCCGAGACGATCCACCTTATTATGATAAGGAATGACTAATGGCGAGCCTGTGATCAAAAGAGGCAAATCATGAAAGAGCAGAGTATCTAGGGTCTGCGAGAAAATGTTGTGCGAATGGTCAACGTATGAGGACGTGAAAGCCCCGTCGAGAGGCTGATATCCATCCAGGGCCATTTCTTTTGGCGATTGATGAAGCTATGGAAGATGCATAGCCGCATAGGTCAAAGGCTGACCGAAGATAGGACCTCGCATAGTATGAGCGAGACCCCGCTCACTTGAAGGCGAGAGAGCTATTTTAGATCGGATGTGGGCATAGGATGGAGCAGCCAATCCCACTCTAAAGTTATAAAAGGACAATCAGGTCTTGTCCCAATGGAGGAGCTACCGGCCAGCGAAGCCAGAGGAATAGTTGCTCACGAACCGAGCCACTTCCACAACAACTGCACAAGCCGCTTGCGATGAACCGGCTTGGCGACGTAATCATTCATGCCCCTGGCAAGGTACGTCTCCGCGTCTCCCTTGAGCGCATTCCCGGTGAGTGCTATGATCGGCACTTCGCTGTTCACTTCACGAATCTTGGTTGTTGCTTCGAGTCCATTCATAACCGGCATGTTGATGTCCATGAGAATTGCATTGTAGGAGAGAGGTGTTTGTTTCACCAGTCGGACTGCGTCCGCGCCGTCCCAGGCCGTGTCCACACGTTCGAAACCGAGGCTTTTGAGGAGCTTCAGCATGACGATTTGGTTCACCATATTATCTTCCACCAGCAATAGGTGCCTGTGGGGAGCAATCCCCTTGACCTCTTCTATGGGTTCGTATGCATTTTCGGCGGTAGCAGGGGAGACGTCCTTACTATGCGACGGAACGTCGACACCTTGCATTCTCACATCGAGCCAAAAGCAGCTACCCTTTCCTTCTGGGTTGGGTCTATAACCAACACTGCCATCCATCAGCTCTGCTAAGCTCTTGCAGATGGACAAGCCAAGCCCTGTACCCTGGTAGCGCTTGGTGGCCGAATCCGCAAAGCGCGTGAATGGGGTAAAAAGCGTGTTGATGGCATCTTCGGGCACTCCGATGCCAGTATCAGTGACTTCTGTCGTGATTGTGTACATATTGGCATCGTGCTCGTCTACTGCGAAGCGATGGGTGACCTTGACATGGCCTTTCTCGGTAAACTTCATCGCATTTCCCACGAGGTTCTGAATCACCTGCCGATACCGAAGGGGATCACCCCGGAGCAGTTTCGGGAAGCCCGGGGGCATGGAACAAGAGATCTCCACAGCGGGGTTCAAGGCCTTGCAATTCCGTACCACTGCTCCCACGATATTCTCGACGCTCAGGACATCCGTGTTCAGAGAGAAGGTGCCGGAGGATAATTTAGAATAATCAAGGACGTCGTTGATCACTTGAAGCAAAATCGACATGGAATCCTCGATAATGGAAGTGTATTCACGTTGCTGAGCGTCGAGCTCCGTGCTGCCCAACATGGTCAATGCCAGGTGCATTCCATTCATGGGAGTCCGAATCTCATGGCTCATGTTGGCCAGGAAGTCGCTCTTCATCTTCGATGATTCCTCAAAGGCTGCGACCATCCGCGCTTCAGCCGCTTTGCGCTCGGTCAAGTCGCGCGTGACTTTGACGAAACCAACGTGCCGCCCGAATGAGAAGATGGGTGTAATCATTACGTTGGCCCAAAACCGTGAACCATCCTGACGATACCGCCAGCCTTCATCCTCGACTTTTCCGTTCCGTAGGCACAATTCGAGCTCCTTGCCAGGTTTGTCCGCCAGTCGATCCTCGGGTCCGTAAAAGACTGAGAAATGCCGACCGATGATCTCATTCGCCTTATATCCCTTGATAATCGCGGCGCCCGAATTCCATGTTGCAATGTTGCCGCGCGCGTCCAACATGAAGATAGCGTAATCTCGGACTGTGTCAACCAGAATCTTGTAAGTCTCATTGAGGTAGGCATTATGCAGCGACTCGTTATGCGTCCTCGTGACGTTGTGCGCTTCCAAGACTAGGTTCAGCAGCGTAGCTCCCTGGAAGATGGGCGTGATTTTCAGTGAAAAATAAGAGCTAATTCTGGGAAGGTGGATGGTTTCGATAACCTGGACAGCCCGAGTCGTAATCGCGACGTGCAATGCACCGTTCAAAGTCGGAATGTCTGGCGCAGGTATCGTGGTGAGTGGAAGCTCGTAGATGGAGGCACCCATCATGAAGTCTCGAGGCTTTCCGCAGAAAGTAAGGTGGCTCTCCGACACCTCCATCACGCGCAAGGACGAGTCGAGGACGAGGGTCGGTACAGGAGTGTAGCGGAAAATTCGATTCAACGAGGAAGTGTCGTTCTGTACGACCTCTGCGTGGGCGTCACGGGGAGTGTCACAGCCTGGAGTCTGAGTTGGTTTAGCTGCATCCTTATCACTGCGTTGAAGATTGAGCTGTTCTTCATCGGGAGGAGTAGCGACCGTGGAAAGCTTGTAGGGTCGCTGCTGGCCATCCCCGAGATGAAGGTGAAGGAGCTCCTTGTCGAGGGCCATTTTGGCTAGCTGAATCCCCCGCAAACTAGGCTAGCGAGGTTACAGAAGAAACGAAGCTAACAGAGAACTCGCTACTGCAGAACACGCATGAGGAGAGTGTTGTTTTTCAGTTTCCCAATTCTGTGCTGTGGCTCTCTGCCTTTTACCTCCCTCCCCTGTGGCGCAACCGAGGAGGTCCCGAAACAGGATCGAGAACCGGCCGAGCGGACGAAAGATGAGAATTGCGAGCTGGTTTTGGACCAGTCCACTCACTCGCCCAGAAGACGACAGATGATGGTCAGCAGATGGTTGTCAGTAGATGCACGTGGAATGTGGAAAAGGTATGAATGAGAAAGAGGATCCACAGTTGCAGATGATGGTTCTTCGCCGCCCCCACGTAAAACTGAAATCAAGTACGTAGTTAAGTACCTAGTAGTTAATATTCTTAACTTAGTCAGTTCTGGCACTCAAGAGGCAAATAACGACGATAATAATTGATCCATGTTTATTGTGGATTTGGATTGGTCAAGGCCATTTCCAGAGGTCCAGTTGCAGGCCTGCAGGGCCAGTAGGCCCATAAGTATAATAATATTACATTCACCAGTCGGCATAATCGTAGTAGACTACTACCACCCACGTCATCGCACCCAGCGAGCGCACTGAGAAAGAGTTCTTACCTATCTCACTCGCTTGCACCGTTTTGCCATTCTGCTGTGTAGCCACTGGCTGGAAAGAAGTTCCAGCCGGCTGCGGGGAAGGAATAGCGGTACAGGAACCTGTTTTTGTCATTCTGTGTGAATCTGGAACGGATCTACCAGAGTTAAGTTAGGGACCCACAGTACTACGATGGGAAAGAGTCTCCAAACAGAAATAGTTCTTCGCCCCCTGTACCTGTACTTCTAAGCCGAGGATTATTGTTTGTGTACCTCTGGAGAGAGGCGAATATTTCTAGATCTCTAGCACCACTCGTCCATTTTCGGTGTCCACCTGCACTTTAATGACTTTCACTGCGATCACATCCGGCTCATCTAGTCGGCTTGAAGTCCCGAAACCGGGAAAAGTACCACAAATTCTATCCATGGTAATTCGACTAAACCCAATCAAGCAGCCTAGCCGCACAGATCCCTTGCATCTGACGCGTGAGTCGTGAACTCGTTGGGTTCGACAACCGGACCCAATAATTGGTGCTTTTTCCTTCCCATTGTCCAACCATTTGTATTGGCATTTCTCAATCACTTCAAAGCAAGAGGCGATATTACCCCGGCGATCACCGGAGAGCTGACACGCGGATGCCGATAGCTCAGCCGATCCAGAGGGCTGATGACATGATGACATGCTGTGTGTGACATTCCTTTCATACTAGAGAGGTAGGGCTCGGCCGAGACATCAGGGATGATATGCACACCTGATCTCCTCGAGAGCACTCCTGGTCGCCTCGAATTTTGATGAAATATGCGGGTAGTAACTGTAAGAGACCATGTCCTTATCAGAGTAGAATATAGTCTGCGTACCTGGTTCCGCGCGCCTGGCTACTGGGTGGCTGAGTGCGCGATGGGGTGGATCCAGATTCCTGAACGGAACATGCCAAAAGCTTGGAAGCGCTGGTTCGAGACGAGGCTGATCCGAGTTGAGTAAATTTTGTCGTTTTGAGCCTGAAAACGTGTCAGGGATCTGCAATCGGGAGGACCCGCTGACGCCAAAGATTCACGAAGAATCGCATCGACAATGTAACTTAACGTGGTCAGCAGGGGTCGAATTTTGGTGAAAAGTTTAAGTTCCTTGGAAGTCTGGAAGTCTGGAAGTCTGGCAGTTCATCTCAGTAGTAATCTTAGCCGGCCCGTCATTGTCGCTGTGCTGTGTGGACACGGCAAAAGACTCTGGAATGGGAGGATGGAGGTGGTCACCAATTTAATGTGTTATCACATGGCATTTCAGGCACTTTGGTCAGCCTAAGGCACACTCCACAGGTTTACATGCATTAGGGTAGCAGCAATAGTAACTACAAGCTTATATTGCTCTTTGAATCTTCCTAGAGGAGTGCTCAAAGTTAACATAGAGATATTATAGGATAACATTTTCTCTCTCGCACTTCTCCAGCATCGTTAACAGCGCTTCCGCTATACCATACGAAAACGCATAGCCGCCTCCTCCGAATCCATAAGCTGATAAGATTGTCCGCTGGCCCAATTGCTCCGAATCCAAGCGAAATCCGCCCTTTCTTGACGGCCGAATCCCGATAATATAGCTCAATGACTCTTCAGGGGGATTCGCGGGAACAATCTCTGGGGCGAGACGATGAGCGCGCGCGATCTCGTCTCGAGCAACGTCCATATCAACGTCTGGGGACCTATATACTGTTAGCTTCGTCAGAGCTGCATGCACAGGAACGTCACTGACAGGTTGTTCGGCTGCTTGACTCCCCCCAACACTACCCCCTCGGATAAAGGACGGGGGATGACATAGGTATACTCTTGCCCATTGCGAAAGTACATTTGTCGACACTTGTCAGTACGGTAAAAGACATTCTGGCCTCGCTCGGGAAAGCACTTGTCATCCCGGACGTCGGTGAGCGTTTTGCTTCCGAGCCCGCTGGCGTTGATGAAGACACTTGACTCGGGGAACATGGTGTATAGTTCCTGGAGGGACTCGACCCGCTTTCGAATGAATTGGCCACCAAGAGCAGTTATCTGCTTTCGAAGATAGGGCATGTGATGTGTCGGATCCGTAACCAGTGTCTGGTATGACCACCCGCATTGGAAGTTAGGAGGATATTCGCCGGGTTCAAGTTCACGAAACTACCTCCGTCAGTATGCCTATATACAATGAGCGGGACCTCTCCATTACCTACATTCGAGACCACAGTCTTACCCCAGACGGAGGAGTTCTCGGATGGCGCTTCTTCGAGATATTCGCGCGCATCCACAAGGCAAACTCCCGACTCGGGGCCGTCTTGCGCCATCTTCAACAGATGCCGATGCGTAACAGCTTGAAGGTATCGATACTCGGGGCTGATACCGCCGGCAGCATGCCACGTTGCTCCAGCCCAGGCTGATGCGTAGAAAATATTTTGGTCGCCTGGCAGGAACTCGGCAACGACCACAACGTGGAAGCCATTCAAGAGGAGCTGTCTTGCTGTAGCGCACCCGATGATTCCTGCGCCTAGAATGATGATCGGACGTTGTGAGAACGGTACAGGAGACGAGTGGAGACCTTGATCGCATTCCCCCATTTTGTGCGTGAAATCTTGCTGATACTTCTGTAGAGATTTGAGACTCGATCGTTTGTCACAGAATATGGGGGATGGGACAGTTCCCAAATATCAAGAAGCTGGATGCTCAGAGGGAAAAGGATGAGGGCACAAGAAAGACACCCAACAAAGCTGCCCGAAGGGAGAAGACCTTGGTTGGTACTGACAGCACCTGGTGTATCCGAGATTGATCCTTTTAACAGAAATTATGGCCCGATCACCGTTCAGATGCATTGCAGTTCATTTCTTTTCTTTATATCCGCCGGCCACAACTCTCTTAGCAGAAATGGCTCCTGACATCTGCGTTGGAATCGGGAGAGCGCTCAGATCCGCCTGTCGGCTCTACCCGCTGGTAGAGGATGATAATTATTATCAGTACAATGGACTAGAGATAGACTAATCTGCAGCAAAAGTATTGCAAGGCACGTCAACTCACCTTAGGTTTAATGATCCGACCAATTCTGGAAGAAACTAGCGGCCCATACCGACAGGCCCGTCGATGTTTCTCCCTGAAGACTACGTCTATCTGGAGACTCTGGCTAAGAATCGGCGCCAATAGATTAAGATCTGCGAAGATTGAGATGGCTCCTTCTGACTCTGCGAGTCATGCTGCATATAATGCCGTCTTGCGGGTTGAGGAGTTTTACCGAAACTACTCCGTGTGAAAGCAAAACGGTCATCATCGTTTTGGCGACGCAGCCCAATTATTGATCTGGTTTTTCACAATAAATATATTACTGACTCTTTTCCAGACGGATCTTCTCAACAATTCGATCTGGTATCTTCTTTGACAATATACTGTATTCTTGGTCGAAAGAAAACAATGTCTCGAGTCTCTCGACGGCACTGCAATCACCTGACTTTAGTCTCTTCAATTAATACAGAATTTCACTTAGGAGGAGACAAAGATGATGATTTATCCATCAATCAGTCAATAGAATTCGAACCACCAGCACGGACTATTCATCTTAGTCTTTACTTCACTTGCTTCATTGATTGTGAATTCCATAAGGAATAACAGTATTCACCTTATGCCTTAGACTCAGATTGTTGAAGGGCGACAGCCTAACAACAACAAAAGCCGTTTGCTACACTGAACAGTGGAAATAGCCAACTCTCATCCATTTTATCCCATTCCCACACAGATACATCATCCACTGCATCATCTCTCGAGTCTAGGAAACGAGCTACTTATGGTGGCGTCAGATATCATGCAACTGGGGTTTCACCTACAACAGCCCATGCACTTTTTCTGATCGATCTCCACCACGCCAGACCCATCTCCGATCGGTCAGACGAGCCTCTACGGTCCTACCCGGGACTAGATAGTCTAGGGCTGAATTCCAGCATACATAGTGGTGTTCCGCGTTGTGCCTTAATAAAGCCAGGATATGGCTGTGATCCAGAGTCCTCATGTTGATTCGCCAGAAGATGAAAAGATCCAACGCAGCGGATCGGTTCAGGTGGGTTTCGCCTTGCAATCCATATTATTGTCTCCACAGTGTTTTTATTTCCTATTCAAGTGTGACCTCTTGAGTGCGATCCACCAGTCAATATCTGCCCATAGATATCCACTGGTGATACGATAGGTGCAGGTTTGGTTATTAACGAGAAGTATTGATTAGGGACCGTCTCCAACGGCGCTCCATGAGCATGCCAGTGTTCTCAACGACTATGATGCTCAGAAAATCCTCCCGTATGAAGCAGACGATTCTCCATTTCCTGAGGTCCGCGCCGTGGTGCAGCCAGTTGACGACGTGAGTCTGCCTGTCAACACAGTGCGCGTGTGGATCATCGGCATCATATTCACTATTGTATGTCATACATCTCTTGAAACGAACTGTAGATCAAGTCGCTAATGCATCAGCAGGTGGGGAGTGGGTTGAACCAGTTCTTTAATCTGCGACAGCCCAGCGTCAGCATCAGTGCTCTGGTTGCGCAGCTTCTGGCATATCCTGTCGGTTGCGCTTGGGCAAGATGGGTGCGACTAGGCTGGGCGAATCCGAACCGGCATTTCAACATCAAGGAGCATGCTTTGATCACAATTATGGCCAATGTCTCGTTTGGATCTGCTTCAGCCACCCAGGTGATTGAGGCTGCCGTGAAGTTCTACGGGATGCCTTCACGAGGCGGATATTACCTCCTTTTAACGATCACCACCCAGCTACTTGGCTTGGGTCTGGCGGGGATGGCTTCGCGCTGGCTCGTTGGCCCTGCTACGATGATCTGGCCTGGGGTGCTATCAAACGCTGCGGTGCTACAGACATTGCATTCACGCAGCAATCTGCTCGCGGATGGGTGGATTGTGACCCGCCTTCGTTTCTTTCTAATAGTGTTTAGTGTCGGTGCTATCTGGTATTTTGTCCCAGGCTATTTGTTCACCGCGTTGAGCTCGTTCAGCTTCGTGTGCTGGATTGTCCCACATAACGTCGTCGTCAATCAGCTGTTTGGTCAAGAGACCGGGCTTGGGATGTCTCTTTTGACCTTTGACTGGGCACAAGTCGTCTTCGCGAATCAAAGTCCGCTCCTTGTTCCTTGCTGGGCCGGACTCAACGTGATGGGGTCGTTTGCCTTGTTTTACTGGATCATCTGTCCCATCATCTATTACACCAACACATGGTACTCGGCCTATATGCCTATGATGAACTCTAATACGTTCGACAACACCGGCAGACCATATCACACAAAGCTTGTCATGAATAGAGATGGGACGGTTGACACTGAGGCATACCGCCGTTATTCGCCCATGTTTCTTCCGGCAGGCTATGCACTGACCTATGGAATCGCATTCGCCAATCTTACAGGCATCTTTGTCCACGTTGCGCTGTATAATGGAAAGGATTTGTGGGAGCAGTGGAAGGGCAGGAACAAGAAGGATATCCATGCGCGATTGATTGCTGCCTACGCAGACGTTCCCTGGTGGTGGTTTGCCGGTGTGACCATTTTGATATTCGCGCTCAGCATTGTAGCCAACGAAGTCTGGCGCACGGGGCTTCCAGTTTGGGCTGTTGTAATCGCGTTTATCCTTCCTATGATCTACTTCGTTCCAGTTGGTATCATCAAGGCTACGACCAACATCAGCAGCAATCAATTAAACCTGATCACGGAGTTCATTGGAGGATATGCTTTTCTGGGACGACCTCTGGCAAACATGATATTCAAGTTCTATGGCTATGTAGCTGTCTCCCAGGGTTTGGAGTGAGTGCGATCCCGTCACTAGTCGACAAAGCTGACTGTTTAGATTTGTGGCCGACATGAAGCTCGCACATTACCTCCATATCGCCCCACGTACACTGTTCATGGCCCAGGGATTAGCTACCCTCGTAGGAGCCATCGTTCAATGCGGTGTCACCGTCTTTATGACCACAAGATTTGACAACATCTGCACTCCAGAGGCGGATGGTGGATTCACCTGTCCTCACGGCCGAGTGACCTACTCGGCTTCTTTGATATGGGGTAAGTGCATCCACACCTCTTCTTGAGACTCTTACTGACAGAGAAGGCGCCCTGGGTCCCGGACGGAACTTTTCTCCCGGTCAAATCTATGGTAACCTCCTCTGGTTCTTCCTCGCTGGACCTGTAGTAATTGTCATCACCTTTCTGCTTGGACGCCGATGGAAGTGGTTTAAGAAGATCTCATGGCCTGTCGCCTTTGGAGCCATGAGTCTTGTTCCACCTGCGACGGGGATCAACTTCTCCTCATGGTGGGTCGTCAATGTAATCTTCAATGGAATCATCAAGCGGAGGAAGCCTGCATGGTGGTCCAAGTACAGTGAGTCATTTTCGCCTCTATGGTAATGCTTGTACTGACTCGGTAGATTACGTTCTGTCTGCCGCTCTCGACTCTGGCGTCGCCGTGGCCACCGTCATCATTTTCTTTTGCATCATGCTTCCTGCCGGCCCATTGCACTGGTGGGGGAACATAGTGTATCGCAAAACCGCGGACGGGATGGGAACGCCTCTCAAACCCTTGCCATCTTCGGGATATTTTGGGCCACCGAGAGGGACATGGGAATAGATAGATTTCTCCGCATATAACGAATTTATGACCATCCAGCCTCGTTCCAGGAACTACCAATTTGATTGAAGTACACCAGATCTAAGATCAAACCTTGACAGCACGTCCCCTGACATATACCTTGGCAATGTTGCGATCATCTCCCGTCATCAAGAACTTCTCGAAGATGAGCTCAATTGAATCACCCTCTTCCACCGGAGCCATGATACCCGTCTCCGCGCCCTCCCCAGTCCGTATCTCCAATGCATCAAACTCCTTGCCAACAGCGAAATTACCAACCCTCTCATCCAGACAACACACCTGCGCACCCCCAAAGTTGCCAGGAAGAAACACTCCGCCACCGACAACGCCGGATCCGCACCACGGGTCTCCGTGGCCCGCGCCGTAGACACCACAAACGCCTGCTTCATCACCTCGAGCATGGAAATCGAATGACCTCCGCCACTATCAGTTCCCAATCCGACCTTGATCCCCCTCCGCAGGTACTCCCGCACTGGTGCAACCATAAACGCCTGCATCGTCGTATTGGGAATAGGACAATGCGCCACACCACAGCGCAGCCGTGCCAGCGTCTCCATCTCCTCCTCCCGCAGGAAAATACAATGCGCCAGGATCGACCGCTCATTCAGCAGCCCAAACCGCGCATACAGCTCCGCCTCATGCGCGAAGTCCGGGAACAGTTGCCTCGTAAACTCCATCTCCTGCTGCGCCTCGTTGAAATGCGTCTGGATGCGCAGGTCCGGGTTCGCGGCCGCCAGCGCCCCAAGGCCAGAGAGGACCTCCTCGTCGCAGGAGATCGCGAAGCGAGGCGTGATCACCGCGTTGACAAGCGGTCGGTCGTCGGTCCCGTTGAACTCGCGCATCCACTCGATGAATTCCCGAGTCTCCTTGACGGATACCCCTGCGTTCAGATCGCGGTACCAACCCGGTGCGTGCCGGTTCATGTTGCACCGGCCGACGAGCGCACGCTGGCCCTTGGACCGGCATACCTCGGCTAGGATCTTCGTCGCGGCTAGATGCTTGGAGGCGTAGTAGCTTGCTGTTGTTATGCCCTGCCGGAGGAGGCCGTCCACGGCGGCACTGTACGTGCGCTTTGCGTACTCTGCGTCCTCGAATTTCGCTTCGTGCGCGAAGGTGACTTTCTCGAGCCAGTCGAGGAGGGAGAGGCTGCGGCCTACGCCGCGCTGTGCCCACTGCGGAGCGTGGTTGTGGGTGTCGACGAAGCCTGGAATCAGGAAGGAGTTTTTGGGGAGGTGTTTGACGGGGAAGACGTCCGGTGCGTAACCATTGTCTGCGATTAGCGTGTTGATGGTTGAGTGGTCGGTGTTGGGGACCAGAGCCTGGATATTGCCCTCGATGTCGACGAGTAGGAAGGTGTTGGGGAGGATTTGGAGGTCAGCGGGGGAAAGGGAGTGGATGATTGTGCCGTGGAAGGCAATGGGGAGGCCTGTTGCTGTTGGTGTTTCGTTCATTTCTTGTATGCCTATGAGTAGCTTTTGAGGTGATGATAGCATGAACGAAAGAGTGTTGAGGATGGATGCTTATCAGTGCGGGGCAGCTGCAGATGACGCAGAGATCATCATGCAATGATACCGACTGATTTTGCAAAGCACATAGGTGATGTCGAGGAAGATTATAATTCTTTAAAATGAATAGATATGTGTGCAGTATTAGCAATATCCGAGGTAATCAAAGCCATTGCTTCCGAATAATGGCCGCAGTGACCCGAAAGGTCTTTCCACTTGATGCAGTTGGCAACATGCCTATTAAGTCCAGCGAGACGGATATAGACGAGCATTAGAAAAGTATTGGATGCTGCCTCATTGGCGATACAAAGAGGGATCTGGCGCGCCAATAGATATGCGATGCAATGATATTGAATATATACAAGAAAATGACAATAGACTACAGGGTATAATATGTCGCCATCTCCTCCTGAAACCAATCATAGGAGTAAAACAATTGCTCTGCCAACTGAGGGTCAATCTGCCGGGGTATCCCATCAACCAGCAACACATCATCCAGCATCGGCGCCAGTGGCACCGGCGGCGGTGGGATGGCTGGCAGCGAAGACGGTGGTGTAGGGGGAAGAGGTGGCTGCGGCTGGGGATACGGGGTTTCCTGCTGTGGATGTTGCTGCCGTTGCGGCTGCTGATATGCCATTTGGCTGAAAATCATCGAGCTTTGACACCGAAAGGTCTCCCCGAGTCTTTCCACTCCCGGCCGTCGCTTGCCAAACTCCTCCAGCAGCACAATCACCGCCTGGATGGCCCGACGCATCATCTGCTCATCCGGCTGCCATAAGGGCGGCCGTCCATCTCGAAGGGCCCGTGAGTTTTGTTCTAAACACCAGAGAATGGTAATCCCAGCAAAATACGTCTGGCTCAGCGTCAGCCAAATCCATTTGATCTTGCCCACCGAATAGCTGTCCCAGTACGACCGAATGACCTGAATGCTAGAGTCGCCGCAACTAACAATGCTAGTGGCGTCAGGTGTGGGATTCCGCGGACTGGGGCGGTACATCAGAAGTAGAGTGGTGTAATAGAGATAATCGTAGTAGCTGGTCGAGTACAACAGTGCAGGCGGATACACAGGCGCGGCCGTACGCCAGTCATCAAGCTCTTGCCGGAATTGAACCAGCATCATCGAAACTTCTTGAGGATCCGGAGGCGGTTGATTGTTGTACACTAATTTGTTAGCCGGAACAGTAAACCGTCATCAAAGAACTCACAATAACGATAGATCCGGGAGAACAGGCGGCGCAGCTTAACCACCTGAACCGGAATGGTCATGGTACTGCCCCCGGCACTTCGGTCCAGTCATCGTTAAACTCCCGGGGCAAACCCACGCTGATATCCTCATCAGCAATCCCCAACGGTCGCCCGAGTGTTGACGCAATCAACCGGTCGAGATTATACAAACTCCAGAATGCCCGCTTGGCCATTTCCTCCTCCATCAGACTAGCCGAGGACCGCATCTTGTGGAGACCAAGACTGGTCGCCAGTCGCATGGCCGTCCCCAGAACATGCCACACGCTAGGGCCGGTGGTCGCAAACATTGTATATAGCGCCAAACTCAGCAAGGCCCGTACGGCGGCCAGGTCCTCGTTCTGCAAGGCCAGCGAAAGCGTCTGCTGACTACCGCGATAGAACTCGTTGATCTGCGCGTCGTCCGCCGATCCGATCAACAGCGCAATTGCTATCGTGATATGGTACGAGTAGTGATCTTCCGGAGTCGGTACTCCGCCCGCGTAGATGTGTCGCAGGAGCGCCATAAAGTCCGGTCGCGACAAGAAAGGATACTGGTAACCCATACTGTCAAAGTAGTTGCCTGCTATTCGCTCCGCCTCTTCCAAGGACGATAAACGGACGACGCGCGGGGCCGACACTGTCGGCCGTGCGACCGATGGCCGACGGTGCTCAAGCTGGTCGCGAAAAATCTCCCCTACGTTGGGCAACTCTGTTCCAAACCCAGACGTTTCTGACGCTGGCGGACCGGTCGAGGACCCTCGTCCGCTACCGGCAGGACTTGACGTCGCGACACTGCCCGCACCGATGGAGTGTCGATTACTGTATCTGGCCATTATGGCGGGCACCTGGTACCACCAATCCGGATCACCTTCCCCATCCACATTGCTCCCCGTAGGTATCTCAGCCACCGATAGTCCTGTCTTTCGGCGGAGGATATCTTCCAACCATTCAACTCGTTTCTGAAGATTCTCGAGCTGGTCGCGAGGGACAGAGGCGCTGGCGATCAGTGGACCGGGTGGTGGAACAGTACATCGAACCCCGGCGCGAGTACACGCAGAGCAATTGGGATATCGAAAATCGCATTTTTTCTTCCGTTTGCGACAGAAATCACACGCGGTGGAAACGCGTTTGGGGCGGGTGCCGTGAGAAGGCTGCAGCGGGGAAGCAACACTGGCGGTGGAGTTCGGCGGTGGAAAAAGAGGAGGCACAGATCGAGGCTGCAACTGGGGCTGAGACGAAGAAGAGGATGAATGGAGAGGAGGAAGCGGAGTAATGACGGACTCGAGACGGAATTTGCCCAACTGATCGCGAAATTCCTTATCCCTGGCGCTCGAGCCGGTGGCCATGGTGGTTGCGGTCACTGGTGTCGGTCGTGAAAGGCGGAGAGCACGCTCGGACGAGAGGCCATAGCGATCAGACGCCAAGGAAGACGGTGGAAGTTTAGTGATCAATCATAAGTGATGGCGAGAAAGCTTCATGTTTGACATATTGACAATCAAGAATGTGTGGTTTGAGGAAGAGATGTTTGTTGGCTGGAAGAGGAAATGGAAATGTTGCAGCGGATACGGAGTAATCGGCGATAGAGTTGGAGCCGAGACTAGGAATGTTGGAAGAAGCAATTACTGCCACAGAGAAAGATAGCAGAGTTACATTGACCTAATAACTATTTGCATTTATTGAGTGTATTTTCTTTTTCCTCATTGACAGTAGGATTCATTGTCCAGGCATAGAGAACTTGATTGGGTTGAACTCGTCCCTTTTGAATGTGACTTCTCTGCATGCAGGCTGTCAATATATTCCCCAGCACCTTCTCCATCAATGACCCAAATCAGGAACGAAGCAAATCCACAGCCAAGACGGCGCCCACTTCTTGTCCTGGACAGTTACAAGGGTCAGTCTCTGATCTGAACCAGTCAATCCACCAAGGTTACAACAATCCAATTATTCAGGCTAATCTGCCGTCCATCTGCCGTTCGGTAGACCCGCTCTATCGCTCGCCATTTCGCTAGGCCCTTGAGGCCTCGACTCCTCCCTAGAAGAGTACCCTTAAGCGAGACGTTGCAAATCAGGTTCTTTCGACTCTGCACGATGAGACCTCGTCTCCCCTGACTAGTTCGGGGGCCGACGGGAAACAACCGATGCGGAGTTGTACCTCGTATTCAACCGACGATCTTCTTCACCTGGCCAAGTGAGATCCAACAAATGGCGTACAATACCGCTATTGACGCAGGAGGTTATCAAGGTAGTATCCCTGGGGTCAATTTGGGGGTGATCGGCATCGTATCCGCCCTTGAATGCGACAATACAGGCAGGGAAGACCACGAGCGGAATATTTGGCATATCGCCGAGAAGAGGATAAATAGGAGTCATCGTCCGGCAGACCAGGTCTGATCTTATCGCTTTCTCAGACACAATCAATCAACATGATGCTCGATCTAAAGCAGGTTGCGGCTATCCTCCTGGCTTCGGCCTCCGTGGCCCAGGCCACCGTTCAAGGCTTCGATATCTCCCACTACCAGGCCAACGTCAACTTTGCGGCGGCATATAACTCTGGTGCTCGCTTTGTCATGATCAAGGTGCGTTTCTTCGTCCGTGCTCAATACCATACGGAGTCCTGACCGTTCTAGGCCACCGAAAGCACCACCTACACCGACCCTTCGTTCTCCAGCCATTACACCGGTGCCACCAATGCTGGTTTCATTCGCGGTGGCTACCACTTCGCCATCCCCAATGACAGCAGTGGCGCCGCTCAGGCCAAGTACTTCCTTGCTCACGGAGGAGGCTGGTCAAACGACGGCATTACCCTCCCCGGTATGCTGGACATCGAGTACAACCCCTATGGCGCCACATGCTACGGACTTAGCGCCTCTCAGATGGTGTCTTGGATTTCCGATTTCGTCAACACCTATAAGAGCAGCACCGGTCGTTATCCGATGATCTATACCACCGCTGACTGGTGGAACACCTGTACGGGCAACAGCAAATCTTTCACCGAGTGTCCTCTCGTCCTGGCTAGGTACTCGAGCTCTGTGGGCACCATTCCGGGCGGATGGCCGTATCAGTCGTTCTGGCAGAACTCCGACAGCTATACCTATGGTGGCGACTCGGACATCTGGAATGGCAGCTGGGAGAACCTTAAGGCGTTTAGCAAGGGTTGATGCGGTATGCCTCAGCATGCTGATGATCACTGTGATCTGATCATGAACTGCACAGCGTTAGGGTAGCTCCAGATCCTTTGATCATTTGATTACAACATTTATTGCGGTAGCTAGTATAGCCAAGTTGAATGATATACGTGAATGAGCACTCTCTCAATCAAGGCAGACCCTCCATGAACATAGGCAGTCCGTGAATGAAACATAGCATCGTCTATGATAACTACGTCATTCACGCCTATCTCATTCACGGTCAGCCTCCTCTAGATTCTTGTCCGTGAATAGCTTCAATTACCGAGGAATGTATACTGTTTCCTCTCTGCTCCTCTCCTCCCTTTGGTCCTTTGCGTACTCTCCATGCATCTACTTGAGTTCTCGAAGAGGGACCTCTCAGGTTGGTTCTTTGACCGAGAAGCCTACAAGCGTACTCTTTATGGGCTTGTTCCAATCACAGCCTAGACACATTGCTCATCGTCCCTGAGTGTGATCAACTAATGATTATATTGGATGGGTCAGAGAAGTAAAAGAAGACCCTGAAGACATCTGTCTGGCTAACATATCAACCAGCGAGGCCCACCTTGGTGTTGTGCAGCAACAGCCCAAGTCCAACGCGTGTTTCTATATCGTCGTTATTTGCGGCTGTCTGACCTGGCATGTGGACATCACACTCACCAATGCTCGAATCCAAGAGCATGACAATGGATTGTCAGTCATTGAGAAGCTCGCATACATGCGGCAGTTGTTTCCGGGTGTGAACATGTGCCTGCTCTCCGCGGTCCCCAGGAGAATTTTAAGCATACAGATGTGGAAAAAGACAATGGACTGTCCAGTTCATTGCCGCTTCCCGGCAATACGACCTTGCCAACCTATTTTGATTGGGTCCTTCCTCTTCTGTCAACCTCATGAAGGACATCTTTGTTTGTCCTTCGGATGTCAGGTTTCTCGACTCTACAGCTCCCTGTGTCAAAATTTCCTCCTTTTAATAGGGGATTTGGGGAGCTTACTTGCTAGGGGCCGATGGTTCAGGAAACGAAGTTGCAAAACTCATCAGTCCAAGACGGCTCCAATCGTGGAGTTTAGATAGATCCCATTTCAATTTCTTCATTCCATTTTTTTTTTTTTCTTTCCCTCTTCTTCTTCCCCCCTTTTCTTCCTGTTTTTCATTTCTTTTGATGATGGCTCGAGAGACCGTCAGCAAAGGAAAGAAGGTCCCCAGGGGTCGGTCTCGCACCGATTCCCGTGGGAAGGGGGCAGTTGGCTCCGACCAAACTTGTCTATTATCAAGTGGAGTGGCCCTGCTTATCAAGGACCATCTCAACATCTTAACGTCCAGGATGAGAGCCCCATATCGGTCGTTCAAGTCAATTGTTTGAAAACTTCAAGCTTTGAAACGCGCCCAGGGAGAGTAATATCCCAGATGTCTTCTTCTCAGCTAGCTCGGCGTATGAGAAATGCTCTGGACGCAAAACCAAAGCAGGAGACTCGATGGATAACTGGGCTGTCTGGTATAACCAGCCTTTTTCATCGACCGCATACAAGGTATGTGAGCGTTTATACTCCATGCGCAATATAACAGTCGCCATCTGCTCTGCAAAAGCGTACGTTTCTCAAATTCCGTTTATGATTCCTATGGCTGACGAATGTGGCTATGTTCCGACAGCATGCTCATTATGTCGATGTGGCGGACTCCCTGGGCTGAGAGCAAGAAACTGTTAAGTCTTCCATCGATGACTGGTTGAAATTGGCCAGGTGTGATGTGCAAAATAACCGAACCTCCGCATGGCCAGCATGCTAATATCGCTGTCATACCGTGCAATGATACAGAATGTCCATTGTCGTTCCCTTCCACGGCAAGATTCATACTTGTGGAAGTCTTCTATGCACCGCGAGTGAGCTCTTCGTCGGCGTACATAGTCACTCTTCAGAACAGACGACAAAATGGAGTCACCTGGCCCACACCAAAAAGCCTTGAATCCCCAGAATAATCTGCCTTGGGGAAGGCCCTCCCCGAAAGATTACTCCTTGGGAGCCTGGGTATAAGCACAATGCTAGAGTTCAATATCCAAAGGGAGCCGAATGAGCCTGACAAAATCTACCGGCCAGTAGCCCTCGCTTAAGAAATCAGCGACATTGGTTCGCCAAACCGCTTTTTCGAATACACAAGTACGCGGAGCTAGAACATATCTAGCTCAACGTCGATCTCAATGAACCGAAGTGGGTAGTTTCTACCTCACCACAAGCAAGGAAAGTCGGGCTTTGCTCCGAAATCCATTCAATCTAAATGAAATTACGCTTAAGCATCGAGTTATTGTCGTCTCGGGAGTACAACACCCAACTACCAGCAAAACAGAAGTATCGACGGGTTCTCGGGATACAGGACGTTCATCGACTTGCATTTTATACACTCGAACACGGAGAACGAACCATACCAGACTTTCACATCCAGCGATTCAAGTGACATTTACAATATGCAAGATGCACGACACGGTGAGAATTACCGAGCTCAAGGGACTCAAGAAAGAGGCATCCCATAGGCTTCGCTAGTACGGCAGCATGTATCCCGTTCGTCGGCATTTTGAAATACCATAGTGCAGATGTTCGCTATCTAGCTAAGGCTGACGCCAAACTATCTAATCAAACGGACGGAGCTACTCTGTGCAGGAGGACGGGTAGTTTTTGACTAGGGCCTTCGTATTATGGATCAAGAGTTATGTCACTCCGCAAGGACTACAAGATGGCTAATTGTGGTGACGACGGCTGTGGGCATCTGTGTTTGCTGGATGTTTGCAGTCGACTTGAGCCGGAGAGTCAATCTCGCGTCTTACCTTCGACAGGATATCCGGCGGATACATTGCGAATGCTTCTTGACTTTGGAAAACCAGTGTAATAGGGCGGATTACAGTTGAACAATCAAGTGGTACTTCGAATCAGACATGCAACAGTGGAGTCTTGTTTAGCAGCATATCAACTTTGTGGGTGGAGGATTCCCTCACTGTGTGCACCACCCAGCTTTGCACATATTGAGAACAAGATTAGTCTACAGTTACTAAAAAGGTCATCAAACGGACCACTCTGCCGCACGCTGGATACGGGTGGGTAGAACTAAGGCAAACAGGATTAAATTAGGGGAACGTGAATCAATGACTATTGGCTTCATTCCGTGAATAGTTCAAGACTGAGATACGTGAAGGAATTGCTGAGGAGACATGAATTAACGAGATAATACACGGTTTCCACGGCGTCCGCGACAGATCTTGCGTATTATCTGCCGGCTGGTGATTCATACTCACTCGGCGCCCTTCCACACCTTATCATTCTCTTCTCCTCTCACTCACCTCTCTGTCAAGAAAACCACATGATATCAAACTTGTCTCTGTTCTTAGACGAGGACGGAGCTTTCAAATTCATGTACTCCATGCTTCTTGACAAAGTGATCAGCTCCAGACCAGGAAGTACCGAAGCCAAGGGCAAGCTTCCGGAAAGGTTCTGGCTTTGCTCACCTTCCTCTTTGCTTTTGGCGAAGGATATGTCAATCGGTCACTCTCTTCCATCAAACCTTGCACTTTCATTAAGCCACCGTTCCTGAATCATTCTCCATAATGAGCGTGGAACCTTCGTTTGTATGGATGTTACGTGGACCGACCAGGCAAACGAAAGTGGCTGGTCCGATTTTTGTACGCTTCCGGGAATTCCAAGCTGGCCTCAGCATATCCGGAGGAAAATATAGGCAAGTGCTCACATGCTGATATGTTGTACTGGACTGACAAAATTGCTGATATAAGACTCTCATTGGCAAGCCAGGACCCCCGGCTCTCGACATCCTCGCATAGATAATCTTCCAAGTCACCTGCCCTTCTGTGCATCAGCCATCGTTGTTGTGCTTCCTCAAAGTGAACGGATTTTACCCTAAGCTCAGAAACGCAACGAATGCCGAAGTGAAGTATAGACTGTACCGTTCGTGGGGCTTGTGCTTTGCTAACTTATCAATAGGTTAGACCGCATTCTACAAAGAAGGCTGATGGCAGGCGAGATCCTCTCCCTAGAACGTTCACATTACAGTCATTGTTGCGGTCAAACCATGGCCGAATCCACGTGAGTCCTTTCTGTTGCTGCCCAGACTGCTGTCCGACTTGCTCAATGACGGAGCAAAGTCAGCAACGTCCAGATTGCAGAATATATGAAGCTGTCAGAGAGCTCGAAGGGCATCGGGTGTCGATTGATGCTCATATTGAGGCGGCTATGTCTAGGCTTTTTGCTGTACAGCCTCGCTAAGAGTGATTCAATCAGCCCCTACAGAAATGTCAACGGATGTCGGTAATATAAAGCCCCTTCTCAGTCTGGTCAGGCGCAGTCCCGGACCCAGTGGAATTGGCCAATCCTTTCGCTCTCTACTTCTGTGAGATACATCCTTCCATTTCAACAAGGAGGGTGGGCTAACATACTCAGCTCAATAGTCTTTGCTTGAAGGCATTCGCGCGGCGTCGGCCAGTCATCACGGCGACAAATCGACAGTTGAAGGATGCTGCTGCTCTTCTTCGCGAGCTGAAGATCTCATTCCCAACGGGCTTAGAGAAAATCTGGGTACCAAATCCGAGGATCCTGAGGAAGGATGACGCGATTACTGAGGACCCCTGAAGGGGAGGATCTTGTTTGCTCTGCATGTTCACTCCTTTGGTTCAGATACGGCCGTTCTGTGCGAGAACATCATAATACCGCAATCAAATGGATTTGCAAGGACAGCCGCACGGATTGGAATTGGAAGACGACGTCATCATATGGCCTTCTTCAATACTTCCCCGGCTCAAAATCCCTGACAGACTCTTACCTGCGACTTGAGTTACAGAAGATGCCATGGAGCATTTGTTGAAAATGCCTGGCGAGTCGAAGGCCTCGCTCAAACATAGCGAGTGGACAGATGACTGTCGATTGAATGACATCCGCCCTCTGTATGGCATGCCCAATTGGATAATTCCTTTAATGCCAGACACACTAATGACAGGATAGATAAGGAACACGCCTACTGGCATTGGCCCGGATCAGCCAGCAATTTAACCTCAACAGATGACATTCATATTGTTGTAGGTATGCCGAACCCTTCATGTCTCTTTTCTAACATAGGAGATTAACATTTGAA